CAGGCGACATGCTACGTACTTAACCTGCTTCGCCGGTTCGATCTCCATATATTCAAAGAATGTTTCCACCGACCTTTCCCAATCCAGGTAATCTTCAATGTGTAAACGGCCATCAAAAAATGGGATGTTAAGTTTTACCCGAAATTCTCCCTGGTGGCGATTGTTCGGCATCCCGTCCCGTCTTCGTCCAGTTCGAATCGGACCAATGTCTCCTTCCGAATAAGACATGTTCTCCATTGCAAGTTGTTCTGGATCATCTTCTTCCGAATCAATGATCTCGGCAGCATGTGGTACTCGTCTCCGTCCGTGTTCCCGATTACGAGCATATCTGCCTTCAACCATTGCTGATGGAGTGTGTAGCCGGTTAATCCGGTTTCCTCCCAATTCATTCTTGAGAGCCTGAAACTCTCGCCGCATATCTACAGACAATCGGAAGAGGTCCGAAGTTACCTCATCCATCCTCTTGCTCAGGCTGATATGGGCATCCCATAACGCGTCAAGACTGCGATCGTCGTCGCCAGTCCCTCGTTTGCTGTTATCCGCCATTCCCAAAGCACCGGGCTCTGATACCAAAACTGATGTAGGTAATCGGAAGGGAATGCAGTGAACAACGAACGAATGAAACAGTTACGAACACAAGCCAAATTTCAGGCGAAATAAAAGGTTGTATATCTTTTCTGCCTCTTCTATCAGGTTTGCTTACACTATATAATACCAGCTGAACACAACAGCTGTAAGAGGTAACTGGTGATAAAAGGTTAACCTGTACTATGTAATAACAAAAAGGGTAACTATAGTAGTGGAGAATAAAACGTGGTGCAGGCTAATAGAAATATAATACTAGCATAACAGGAAATAGGTAGAATACTCCCTTGGCTTATGATGCACCGCATCAGAATAGTTAAGTTATTTTTCTTACAACAACATCACAACCAACTTTATAAAATGCTGCAGCTATCTCAATCAGAAACTTAGTAGTACTATTATGTATTACAATAAAATTAAACATTATTTTAAAAATTTATCAAGATTATTGATAATATATTATATTTGACAAAACTGCCTCAAGATATCTTGGCATAATGTTTATGAACACGCTCACAAATTATTAGATTTGCTTTTAACTTAATGTTACATATACAATAGTCTCTTAAGTACATAACTTGAACCTGGAAGGTTTGTGCTTACCTAACAGATTGGTGTGTACTTTTGGTTTCTCTTTGATGTCGAAGAAACAAATTTGAAAGCGATTGAATGAGTACCAGTGATGCGAGATCATCTCAAAGCTGGCAAGACGAATCCTCCTTGTAAGCGTGCTCCAGTGCAAGAGTATGGCATGAATGAAGGCGCATCCGGAAGGTATGGTACAGTAGAGAGAAGATCCTTGAAATCTCTGAGCTGATGCCCGAAGAAGCTAAAGAAAAGACATTTCGAGCGTCTGTTTGTCAATTTATAAAGCTTGAAGATATGCTCTTCATTTGGATCAAAAGTATGTGTCGTGTTAATTTATTTGTACCGCTCTCTCTCCCCATTGCCAAAGAAAAAAATCGCCTCCATCCTTTCAAATTCGAACACAGATTTTAAGGCATCCTAGTAATGGTCGAGCCAATTCATAGCACGTTGAGGTTTGCAAAAGATGCTCCTTCATGGAGAGGGAGCACAAGTCAACAAGGACAATCTAGAGTTGTTAGCAGTGTTAAAGGTTTTATCAAGATTATCGAGCAATATGATCTTGATAACAATTATAATATGGATGAGGCTGGGATATTGTTTATTCTACTTCAGAGATATGACCTACTTATGCCAAATGACGACATTTCCACCCCCATGGGTAAGAGAAAAGACAAAGATTGAGTCTCTCTTATCGTCTACACAAATGCCACGAGAACTGATTAGAAGATTTTCTGCGCTTTGATTGGAAAGCTAAAAGGGGCAAGCTTGTATCAAGGACTAGCAATGGTCAATTAAATATTTCAATCAAGCAAAAGCATGGATGGATAAGAAAACTTGTTGGAAATGGTTCAATGAGGTGTTTTCTCCCGAAGTGAAAAATCATACCGGATGTTGCGTTCTTTTGCTAATGGACAATGTTCCTGATCATTTTGAAGCTTTCGAACGGGGATATATCCGGATAGTTTTCTTATCCATTAGCAACAGAACGCAACATGTGATATGGGAATAATCGAAGCTCGAAAGAAACGATACAAGTATTTATATTCAAGAATGTCCTTAATTTTTACAAACTTGATGAGGAGAAGAATTGTAAGGAGCAAGGGTAGCAATTACGCCGAGGAACTACTAGGGTTTGTTACAAAAATCCAACACACTTGCTTGATGCAACAAACTATGTGAAAACTTCTTGGGATTCTGTAGCGTTAAGCTCGATAAAAAACTCCTTTATCAAGACAGAGATAATGACATTAGAGCAGATATTGATGTGAGTGATAAAGATAATGATTTGGGCACCAATGTTTTATAAACCATGAAAAGTTTAAATATTTCTATCGATCCTATAGAATTGGAAGATTTCGTTCATGGAGACGATGATATCAACGAAAAATATGCTGTTGTCATATTGGAAGATGTTTAGGAACTTTTAAGTGAATGAAAATTTATGGAACTGAGCATGATGATGATCTGAATCCTCAAAAGCTGAGTGCCAGTTTAGAAAATATTGTTGCATTTTAGGGCTTTGAGTCTTTCCAAAAATAGGTTGGTAACTTAGAGGATCAACTACTCTACCCTAAGGTGCAAGGTATAAGCCAGAGAAACATTCGATAATCTTAGACAATCATTTGAATTATTTTAGAGAAAGATTCAGGTGGTAACCCTCAATGTTAGACATAAGAAACTGAAAAACTTACGACAAATAACCATTCATAACATGTTCAACTTTTAAACCTTACCCTAATTTTTTTGTTAAATTTTTGCGTACTTAACAAGGATGCTTACTTAAACAGGTGCATTCTTAAGCGACAAGTTACTATGAAGAGCTTGTAATGCACTAATGTCAAAATAAATCTAATGAATTGTAAGCCCATCATGATAATTTTTTTCCTTTTCTATTAGTTCATAATAAATTTTAAGAAAACATGTGACAATATTGCCAAAGTTTTAAGGTCAAAATAATATTTTAAAATTTACATGAAAGTTAATAATTTTTTTATATTTATAAGTATTAATCTTTTGCTATGTTTTCTTGTAACCTAGAAATAATGCTAGGATTTATTGCTGGCACGATATTACAAATCGACTTGATCAAATACTAGAAAAATTCCATAATAAATTTTAGAATATTTTAAACTCTGATTTTAACAAACTTATAGTAATTCTGAAAGTCTCGATGAAACCCATCGACATCAAAAGTGATGTGATTAGAGTCCAAATGATCTCAATTCAAGCATTTTAAGTTCAATAAAAAGCTTTGGGACATTATTTGGAGCATTAAACGATCTCCAATTCTCACATCTTGTAATTAAATTGAGTGTCATTGAGAGAATAATCTTGCAAGCCCAATATTGCTTAATTCTATCATTATTAAGGCAATTACATACTAAAGGGATGGTCCATGATTGACATAATTAATGCGAGCCATCTAATGGAGTGTTTCAAAATTTGACTATATTTACATGATAAGTTATTATAAAAAATCAATAAATATGCACACTCTTTTAGATAAAGGGGGCTTGTAGCTTGAACTCTTTTCTTAAGATTTAAGAGAGCTCAAAGGCTTAATGAATCATGATTCTCCAACCGAGCATCACCTTTGTGACTTTCATAATCGGATCGAAAACAACCATTAGAAGATAGCCCAGCCAATGTCATAAAATAACCCTCATCCAACTACAATAATTTGATTAGGATCGCATGATTATGGTCCTCTAGCAATCATGCCCTACTTTGATCATTCGGGTACCTTTGCCTAATTATAATTCTTTGACCACTGTCACTTGACTTCGTTCCTTTAACTATTGGCACCCGTCTACAGCCTTCCAACCATTGTCTCACGCTGCTACATTCCTCTAATCATCTTCATATGACCATGATATTCCAATCACTATAATTGAAAGACAACCAAATAAATAATAAACAATCTCTTGAAGTAAAATCCAATATCATAAGACTATTTCAACCTTCACCATAGAATCCATTTTACAGTTTTTGTCTACTAAATTGTATCAACACCTTGCCTAATCATGATAAATTAAGGACATCATTTGTAACCGATAGTAAACACAGTGTAATCATTTTAATTTGGTCAATCCTCATATTTTTGTCCTTTTTTCATATTTTCCACCTCAAAACTTCGGCAGGCGGGAGACTAATCGAAGGCCGAGCGGGTAAATCAAAAAGATGTATAAGCTCAACGGGATAACGATGCTCAACGGGACAATGTAGCTCGACGGGACAACATACGACGGGGCAACGGACGATGTAGCTCGAAGGGACGACGGATGACGGATGACGGATGACGGACGAAGAAGCTCAATGGGATCATGGAAGATGGGACGATGGACGGCTTCAACAGAGATAGACGAGACGACTGATGACAGAGCACGAGTAGGTCGACGTAGCTCAGGACGATGCTCAACGACAGAGGTCGGGAAGTAGCTCGAGGAGTAGCTAGCTCGATGTGAGACGAGCTCAACTCGAGTTCGAGCTCGATATTTGACAGTAGAGCTCGACTTGAACACCCCTTGGCTTTGCACCCCTATGCGTGGAACAATTATTACGTCCTCCGACCGAATGCAGAGAAACATTCGGTCGCAGGAAAAAATCGCGCGGTACCGAGGTGTACCGAATTTTTCAAAAAACTCGGTACACCTCGGTATTTTTGCCTGCGACCGAATGTTTCTCTCATTCGGTCGACCGAACCAAATAAAACTTTCTATGCGTGAGAGTCATGTTCCCCGCGTGAAAAGCCTACGTACATACGCATTGGCCGCATGCGTCAATCCATCCCATTGGATGATAGCTATGCACTACCTTCCAACCTACCGTCATTTGAGTCCATATTGGAAACGTCACCTTCTTTCCCTTCCCCTTTCGTCTTCACAAAGAGCTTTCCCTCTGACAGTCTCCTTTCTCTGTCTCGTTCCCCTTCTTTCCCTCTAACATATCTGCTTCATTGGAGCTTCCCATGGCAGGAAAGGTACTCTCTCTCTTCTACTCTTAATTGATTCTATCTCTTCTGTTTTCTCTATAATTTTTCTGCTAGTTGCATTATTAATCCATTGCTTAGGGAACTTCTTAATCTGCCTTGATGGATTTTGCTATTTTGAACTTAAGCTACTAAACGAATTCATTAAGTAAATTAACTATAAAAACATTGTCACAGATCTCCACATTAATCTTGACCGTTGACCTCGATTGTTACATCTGTTCTAAGAAGATCAAGAAGACCATTTGCAAACTCCAAGGTAAGTATTACCAACTTAATTCATTCATTCTCATCTACTTATTAAAACTCTAATTGCTTGTTCATTTAATTAAAATTAAGCCCAAGAGAAAATCGAGAGGATCACCTATGATGAGAAGAACAATACTGTAACGATTTCTGGGTTCTTTGATCCTCAAAAATTAAAGAAGAAGCTCTTATGCAAAGCCTGTAAGGTGATTAGGGACATTAAGATCAAAGAGGAGGAGAAGCCAAAGGAGAAAGAGAAGCCTAAGGAGCAGGAGAAGCCCAAGGAGAAGCCGAAGGAGCCGGAAAAACCCAAAGAAAAGGAGAAGCCTAAGGAGAAGGAGAAGCCCAATCCCGAGCCGGTTCAACAGTGCCAGCCCTTCTGGCCTGTCTATCCAGCCTTCCCGACCTGCTGCTGGCGACCGTGCTATGAGCAATATTATGGCGGCTGCCGGTGCTCATCCTGCGGAATGCCCATCGGGTGGACGGCGCCGCCACCGCCACCTGCTGGACGCTACATGACCGTCCCCTCCTCATCCACCTGTCAGTTCTTCTGCGAGGAGGATCCTTCTTCATGTATCATTATGTAATCATGAATATTGATGTCTTTCTTAAGGGAGTAAATTTTTCTTCTTCTTCTTCTTAATTTTACGTTCAACTGTCCTGTCGTCCCTTTCATCTGTTCATCTCCCTAAACCATCATTAATAACTTAATGATGTATGCCAATTTCATAATAATATGATTTCTTTGTTTGATTAGATAAATTTTGCACTAATTAATTAATTAATGATGCTTAGCCTTTGATTAACCTTTCGACTTGCGTGAGTCTCCTAAATTTTATTAGCATTAATTCCTTTTTGTTAGCCACGATTTGAATGCGATAGGTACGTGTAGGTAAGGAGGAGGATTAAAAATATATTTACATATTTTTAAAAATTTCGATGATTTAGAAAGATAAATTTAAAAATTAGTTGATGATGATGTGATTTGAATATAAGTTTTCATTATGATGTGATTAGGAATTAAATTAATTTTTAGTAATTGTTGATTAGATAAGCATCAACGATTAATATTCGTTAATAATGATAAGATTTTCATGTGATTTTTCAATGTGATATGCTACGTGTCAATAAATTTATTAATTTTAGCATATTTTAATGAGCATAACTATATATATATATATAAATACCACCAGCTATATTTTTAGTACACGATAAAATTGTTCGTTAATATAGAAAAAAAGTTGATTAGTGAGTTGATGTAACAAATAAGAATGATAAAATGGAAGTAAGACGAATTAAAGAATAATTAATTGAAGAATGATTACATTCATTGTCAAACTTAATATTTTGATATTTAGGGATGATCAGAGTAAATATAAATTAAAAAAAAAAATCAGAGTAAATAGATTTTTTTTTTTTAATGTTTGTGTTACAAACTTACAACTACATTTCTCTCTAACTTTCTTGTCAACAAAAAATAAAGAAGGAACATATCATCTTCTTATTTTTATCCTTCAAAATTATTGTAATTGATGTCACTAAAAAATCGGCTTGGTCAGGCATGAATCTCGATACAAATGTAAAGTAGAAACTTTCAAAAATTAAATTCAGGACCTTCCAAACTTCGATTTAAACAAACTTATAGTCAAATTGAACACCTCAAGGAGGCAAACTCAACGACACTAAATTCAATCCAATCTAAGCCCAAATAGGCCCAAATCAAAGGACTAAAACATATTTGAGGACTTCAAAGCATTAATTAGATGGCTAAATGATATCTAAATATGACATGCTTATAGCCGAATCAAGCTGCTCGACTAGAAGAATCCAATGAGCCTAATATAGCTTAATTATGATGTTGTTATGACATATAAATGTTTGAGGAACATTGCATACTAGAGGGAATTAATATCAACCGTTTGATGGAACACTCCAAATTTGTCCTAGATTTTCTCCATATGTACTAAGCATGTCACTCTAAGAAAACTATAAATAGATCATCATTCTTCATATGAAGAGAGTGACAAATAGAGGAAAAGATTAACCAGGGAGCTCTCTTGCATTTTGCAGCCAACACCACTGCTAGATCTCTTTTCGACCACCGTTGTCTGCCGACTAGGGTCCCCATGACCTCCGTCGCCCGTCGTCTACAGTCCCTTCGACCACCGTCACAAATCGACTATCATCCCTCTAACCATCATTGCTAGCCAATTACGGTCCCTCCAACCATCGTCGCCTGATTACGGTTCTTCTGACCACCATTACACGACTATGGTCCTTCCGACCACCATCATCAACTACAGTCACTTCGACAATCGTTGCTTGAGTACTATCCTTCCAACCTTCATCATCCCCTATCGTCGTCGACAATGGTCCCTCTGACCTCCTTCTCCCACTGATAATAATCCCTCCAACCTTCATCGCATGCTGACTACGGTCCTTCCAACCACCATCCCTAGTTGATTACGGTCCCTTCGAACATCATCGCCTGACTACGGTCCTTTTCAACCTTCATTGCTCACCGACTACTATCCATCCGACAACTTTGTCCGATTACAATCCTTTCGATCACCATCGCCCAACTACGGTCTTTTTGACCACCATCACCCAATTGTGATTCTTCTAACCTTCGTCACTTCCCGGCCTCGGTCCCTCCGACCTCTATCTTCCAAATACAGCCTTACCAACCAAATGAACAGGCTAACACTTTCTTAAGAATAGCTATCCTGACATTGGGTTCTTTCAGCCCCAGCCTTAGTAAAGTGCATTATATGATGTATATTTGCTACATTGAGCAAATATCTTCCCCGAAGTAAGGGCATCATTTGTAATTCAAAACAAATACTAGTAGATTCATTCAAATTGGGCAAAGCCCTATGGTTCTTCTACTTTTTAGGAGTTTTCACATAAAAAATTTGATCTCTTATGAATGCTCTCTCTCTCTCTCTCATATTAATTTGTGTACTAGATCTTAGTATACATTTGATGGCTAAAAATAAATGATGACCAAAATGCATATTTTAATCTCTATTAATTGATCATTCTAAAGAATATTAACTTATTAACAATAACAAAACCATCTAAATAACTTTGAAGCAAATAATCTTACAAACATCAAAGCAGCAGACTGAATTATTTATAGCAAATAAACTTTCAAACATCAAAGCAGCAGACTGAATTATTTATGTTCATCAGAATCCAAAATAGAGCAGCATCGAGCTCGGCAGATAAAAAAAAGAAGGTAATGTGCTCGATCTGATTATCTTTTGCTCTTTCTTCCTTTAAAACTGTGAAGCATTATTCTTCATTTATTCTACAAAATTCAAAGAAAGTTAAATTATGAATAATATTATTGGCTCAGTTCCAAATAAAAAAGAAAAGAAAACACAGCAGCTACAATATTCACACTCGAAAATCT